ACGGACCCGCAGGCGAACTGTATCTACCTTTGGGTGCCGTCAGTCCTCAAGTCATGGCATTAACCCATACTTAGGTTTGAGTTCAATAAATGGTTAGTCTCTTACCTGAAGACTCTTTAAATCCATGTCTTGAGTCGAAATCAGTGTTCAGTTCTTGAATTCAGAGTCGTTTCGATTGAAAGATGTGTTGATTTGGTTGTAGTTTCGATTGATGTCTGAAATAATGTGTGAAAAGAGAGGATTAGTTAGAGTTTAGTGAAGAATATTCGTGAGAATGACTGCAATTGTGAACACATTTGACTTTTCGGTCAAATGAAGTAATTTTGAATTTTACTAAATAACGCTTTCAAACAGAAATTAACGCAACAATCAATTGATTGTTTAAAATATATAAAAATTAATACCATTTTATTTTTATATGAAAATAACTTTTATTTGTTGTAAAACATTTTTAAATGTTGGATACAGTGAAAGATTGTATGTATTGTTGAATAAAATAAGACATTAAATATTCTTTGGTTTATAGATTTACTACATTTATGATTTACTAATTTTAGATTTTACTTTTATTAATTATATGATATAATAAGAATTTTAATATATACAAATTACTCAACTAATTGAAATATTTCCAATAACTTTACTGTAACGCAATACCATGTTTATCTCAAAATCAAAAGTAAAATTACTGGTTTTTGCATAATTTAGAAATAATATTTACATAATATTTCACAAATATATGAAATAATTTACACCTCATTTACTATATATAGATGACTAGTGAATAGTTTTTCATTACATTTTAACTCTTTTAAACAAATCAATGCATTCAATGAATAATTAAACTTCTGATAAATATATATTCACTTAATTTTATTTGTAATCAATGGACGAGAAGAGCGATTTAGTAGACGCTAACTGTCCGGTTAAATGTCTAAACCCAACCGATGGGTAAGTTTATACAATATTTTTAATAAGTAATAATTGTTACTAATAAATCACAAAACAAATCATAAATATACGATTATAAATTATATACATTATCCATGTATACCATGATCTAAAATATTATTTTAATAGTTTAATATTTTTATAAATTAATTTTCTAATCAGGCCATCAAATGAATGTTATGGTGTATTAAATGTTGCCGTTAATAGTATAGCCTATGATATGAAACACAAAAATCGTGGCAAATGTGTTGTCTTTAATCACAAGACTTTCGACAAACAGACCAAATGTAAGGATAGGGACGGAACCGATAAAGATGTCCAAAATATTATCACATGCTTTGAAAGACTGCATTTTGAAGTAATTGTTGTCAACGACGGCAGTCTTAGAGACATCAGACAAACACTATTTAATAGTTAATAAATTTATACTATAAAAATTTACAAAACATTTAAATTATAATTATATTTCATTAGTTGGAACCGAAAATCACACCAATAATGACTGTGTGGTAGTTATTGTCTTAACCCATGGCAATGAACACACTCTTTGGGCCAGAGATACCAAATACAAGGCAGAGATATTGTTTCCGTACTTATATTGTTCATCACTAATAGGGAAACCAAAGATCTTTATAATTCAGGTATTGATGAGCAACAGAATTGCCATCAATTGAATGGTCATTGAATTGAACCTCTTGTACTCTCTATAGGCTTGTCGTGGAAATAATGTCGATTCGGGATCTAAATTGAAAACACTCGGTAACGGGTCCTCCAGCGTCGACAAAAGACCCGTAGTCTATAAGCCTGTCTATACAATACCAACAAACGCCGATTTGCTTATATATCAGAGCACTTCTCCCGGTATTTATTATATTCTGTGTATTAAATAATGCATTTAATTAGTAATAATTTGTATCAATATTGAGGCCATTATTCTTTCCGTAACGCCGATTCGGGCTCTTATTTTATCCAAACATTGGTCTCAGTATTAAATGATTATTGCTATAAAAGTGATCACGATTTGGTCACACTCTTCACAATTGTCAACCAGAGAATGGCATTTGATTTTGAGTCAAATTCTACGGATCCGAGAGCCGATAAGAAGAAGCAAATACCGGTCAGACAATTGAATTCATTTACAAATGAATGCATTTAATACTTAATTATTAATTACTAAATTGATTGTAAATTACAGTGCATTACATCAATGCTCACAAGATTAGTATATTTCACACCCAAATCGTCAAAGAAATGACAACTTTATGCACGTTTCAAATCTAATATGGATTTAACGTTAAAATTTAGCAAAAATTATAGTATTTTGAAACAAATTATTGAAATTAAATTTCATAAAACATAAATTAAATGATTGATTAAATAAGCGTTTAGTAAATAATTGTTTATTCATTATAATTAAATTAAATAAATCGTATTTTTATAAATCGTCGACAAATAAAAATTTGTGTAAAACTTATGATATTTACAAGAATTCACACAATTGTTGTACCATTTATTAAACCACTTTATATCGACCCCTATTGATGGGAGTGTAAGCGTT